AAAAAAAAAAAAATATACATCCGGGAACTATGATAAATTATTAATAATAGTTGACGAACGTTCCAACAAACAGATATTTAGGGATAAAGAACTAGGGGAAATTTAAAATTTCTTCCTCTAAAGAGAGAACGTAATATTTGTTTTCGACGTGTTGTCTCAGAAACATATGCGCCATCTAATGATTAAGAGATAATTCAATACGTTCGTTGCTGTAATTCTCCATATTTCAGTTCTTATATAAGGACTATATATTGATTTTTATTACGAATCTAAATATCGAGGAAAAAATGATTAAAAAAAATGATAACATTTCTCTTTAGATCGTTCGATAATATATATACGTTTATATTTCAATCTCGATATCAATCTCGAATCTTTATATTCGCATCCAGCAACAATATTGACTAATGCGATAATTACACAATGTAATGCAAGTTTCTTTTGTTTTTCTTTTTTTTTTTTTTTTTTTTTTTACTTTCGTCAACAATAAGATTCACGCGTTTCTTTTCTTAAATATATAATAATAACAAAGTATTTATCAACAAAGTTTATAAATCATAGTACGAAAAAAAAAAAAACGTGAGTCAATAAACATGCAGAACAAAATTAATAAATAAAATGAATTCTTTTGATTGCGCAAGTTTTGTTTTAAAATAATTTTAATTAGATAAGAAAGATTCAAATTAATGCGTTAAAGAGAAAAAAAGATAACATATTATGATACTATAGAAAATGATGTTATAATCACGTGACAAAGAACCCAAGATCTCGGTGATGTAATATCTCTAATTAGTAATATCCGACTTATCTATGGGACCACTTACAAATACAAATTGATCACAATAGTAAACAGCAACGTAAGTATACGTATTCATGAATATTAAACAACGCATATGCCGATCAAGAGTATTAGGACGTTTGCTATTTTTAATAAATTTAAAGTGTATGAAATATATACACTTCAAAAAGAAATGAAAGAAAAAAAAATTGAATCAAATTGAATTGAATAATTTTAAATTTATATAAAATCTCAAAATAAATAATTGCAATAATTTATAAAATATATTCTAATACGCTGAATTATGTTGCATACGAACAATTTTTCAATCTGTTTTCAATTTCTACAATGAATATATTTCACGCATAAAATTAGTCACATATAAATATTTAAAAAAAGAAAATTTAATAAACAAAAGTTTCGAATCAATTTGTTCTTCTATCGTAATCAATTTTCTTTGAAGTATGACAATTAGATAAGAAAAGAATCGAGTATCAAAATTCATTTCCAATTAGTTAATATTGTATTAATAAAAATATATTCTATATTCTATAAGAGAAATTGTGATAAAATGTATTCGATAACTGCATAAAAAGATTTATAATAATTTAAATTTTTTTCATTTATAAAAATTAAAGATAAATCTGAAAAATAAAGAAATCTGAATATAAGTCAGAAAGATAAGTTAGAAAATAAGCTAGAAAATGATATTGGAAATTGGTTTCTTAATGCAAGAGATGATATGTTGAAAAGAGAGAAGTAAAAGAGACGAATTACTCCTCCGATACAATTACAGAAATAAATGAAACCAAGTGAATGAAACAATTTCAACAATAAGAACAAGAGTATATGACTTTAGAATCAATATTGATCGTTGACAGTTGAAAAATAATCATTGAAAAGATAAAATAAGAGAATTAATAAAATCGAATCCGCTTTTTTCCGATTTTGACGATATCTCTTTGAGGATATCGATCGGATTGATAAAATGGAGCAAAATTGTCAGTTGCTTTGCGTATTACGATCAATATCGAAATTATTAATCTCAATAAATATAAGTATTCAATTATGATACTACTAAACATCTTGTAATCATTTCTAAATTTATGAGATCCTCGTTTTTTTTTTCTGATTTTCAAAATATCTTCAATGCCATGACGAAGAACAAGTGTGTTACGTTACTCACACTGAATATTGACAAAACTGGAAAAAATATTATGTATCGATGAATCAAGTTTAAAACAGGATCGTTCAAATGGACTTGATCTAGGACAAAAATATCCGTTTACGAGGGATATTGTGACAAGAATAAAATAAAAAAACATTAAGATATCGGAGGAAGACAGGAAGCGAGGAAGGATAGAAGAGAAAAAGGGAGAGAAAGATCCTGAATATGGTGGGAAGACGTTATTTACACGTATTACAAAAAAGTTTCGATATTAAAATTATGAAATAGCAATCTTATTCGTTTTCTCTTAATTTGAAACAGCATAAAAAATTATGAGCCTATTGAAACGGGCAAATTAAGTAAATTAAAAAGTATTCCAAATCGTGAAGAAAAATTGTGAATTTCTAGAAGTAAAATTAATCTCGAGAAGATTAAGAGACGAAAAAAAAAAAAAAAAAAAAAAAGAATTTATATTATGATTATTACTAGATTTGTGGACGCAATTATAAGAATACGCATATTGATATACCGATATATGAGACAATAATATAATTATTTATTATTATTGGCGAGAAATATTTAAGGAATTATCGGTAAAATATATTCTCTCTAATACGGTACAAAATAGAGTACATAAAATTTAGTGAAATTTTCAGTATTCGATGATTTCATAACTTTTTACAAGTATTTATTACAATTGAATGTCCTAATACTTTTGAGTGGCAGTGTATGTTCACTTCTTTTTAAACACGCACACACACTCTTATATAACTGTGCAATGTCTTTTAACCATTGATATTTATAATCTGTCTTATAATCTAAAAGGGCGTCGGTCCCTTGGTTGCAACAACAACGCTAAGTTGCACTTTTTCTATCTTAACTGCACTAAATAGTATTATATTTTGTTTGTTCGCTTCTGTAAAACTTGAGC